ATCCGACGATTGTCAACCGGAAGGGCGCCATTTTGCAACACGACAATTGCCAGACCGCAGTGTGCGCACAAGGCGAACACTGGTAAAAATTAATGAACTTGAATGGGATGTAATGCCGCAACGACCATGTCGCACCCTTTGCTTTTTTCGGGATGCTTGCCCGGAATGTTCAAACAGGATTCTGTAATTAGAATGAAAACCTCAGCATACAGAGAGAGACCAGGCTTCGGTCTCCGGTACTTTTCAAGGAAAAATTTCCCCCATCTCTTAAAGACATCCAACTAGTCGCGGGTATTACAAGCATTTCCGGGCCTTTCCTTCCTCCTTTAATGGCAATATTACAATTTCTAATACCACCTGCCTAATACCGCCGAACTGGACACAACAAATGCTAAAGTTGAATAAAATAAAAGTAAATTTTGATAAAAAAATTTTCAATCTGTGCCAAATTATTATGTAACACGCGCTTTAAATTTCCCCCTCTTTCGTGCCCAATTAGATATAAAGTTGAAATGTGCAAAATCTGCAGGCGTAACGAATGCTTATAGGGAAAATGAAAGTGAAATTGAAATTGAAATTGAAATTGAAACAGAATGCGTGTAAGTAATAATGAAAGGAGGCATAATAATGCGTACGATAAATAGGTTGGAATAGAATTGAGAAATCTCTCGAATTGAACAATAAGAACGACATGAACGCACATGCACACATGCACATGGAAAGGCACTTGGTTTCATTTAAAGTTAAATAATAATAGAAGAGCGTTTAGCTATGGTCAAGCCTATGAAAATGAACGATCTGACCAATGATCATAACAAATGGTAAAACTTCAAACGCGACCATTACCACCACCATCGTCGTCTTTGCCCCGGCATAAAAATAATAATAATAATAATAATAATAATAATGTGGCGAGGGTTTTGCTATTCAATTTTGGTTACCTAACTTTCAAGACCACAACTGACCAACACACACAACGTGCTATAATTTTCAATAAACAGGATTAGAAATATAAATTTCATTATATAGAGGAAAAATTGAGACGAGAAAATTTAAAACCTCCATTAGTAAATCACCCATTGTCTAACGATGACAGCCAGCACCCTATAGTAAATGCGAGTAAGTGCTTATGTGTTAAATTGAAACAAAATAAAGTTGTTACTTCTCTACTATACACACTGTTCGCCCATATAAAGGAATCAAATCAAAAAAAAAAAAACACAAAAACACAAAAACAAAACACAAAAACAAAGAAGAAAAGAAGTGAAAAAAGAAACAACAACAACAACAACACCAAGAACAACATAAAACAACACAAAAGGCAGCCAACCAACCAGTCGTGATCATACTGTGAGAGGCGAAAAACGCCTTCAAATCATTTATGCCGGTGATTAACGACTGCTGTGACTTTTTCTTTTCACTTAAAAAGTAACACAAATAGAAAACACAAAAAATTAATGCACGTTCATAACCGATCGTGCGGTACGCTTGTATATGTTAATAATGTACATGGCGAGCCGCACTGTGGCCAAAATTTGCATTTGAATAACACGCAAAGAAACGGAAATTTCATCTTAATGTATTATTAAGCATTGAGGGGGAATTTAATTCACTGCAAAGCTTGCATTTCTATGAACACAAAAATGTATATATTTATATATATATATATATATATATGTGTATGTATATATTACTTTTTCCCCTTTTTTTCAAAGCAAGTCGAGTTAGTTAAAAGTTTTCATTTTTATTTTGATTTTTTCGAGCGATCTAAAAAGTTGTAAGATTGACTAAGGCTGACTAAACTGGGCGTAGCCAGCAACTTGGCGTACAATCAATGAACGTCTAAATCAATGAACGAAAATATCAATAAAATTATCTTCTGTTCAGTTTTTAACAAAATAACGTAAGACTTGGGCATTACTCTTCAACTCGCTGCTAACTGCATCCCTCATCTTGTATATTAAAATAACGGAGTACTTGATAAAATTTCTATGCCAAATTGTGTGTGTGTGTGTGTGTGTGTGTGTGTGTGTGTGTGTGTGTGTGTGTGTGTGTGTAAATTTCCAATGCAATCCTAAGGATATGAAACGTCAATTGACAATCGTTCTATCTAAGATATAATTGATAGGGAGCACATTGAAAGAATGAAATTCTCTTTATGGAACACTGAATGGATCCATATATATACTCGCGTCATTGTGCCCAGCGATTTGTGCAAATTTGTGCTATGATGTGACAAAGTTTAGATTTAATGCGGATATGTATAAATTAACTCATCCAGGGTAATCGGTGGGGATTAAAATTGTCGGCACAATTCTCGGGGCAATTACCAACGAGTTAATTAACTAAAGTTCTCGATGGGAATTATATGCAATTCATACATGCATTCATACGTTCTAGATGATGCAACCAGATAACCGTCTCCCTACATTAGACTTCTTCGTAGAAGAAATATGTCTCAGCATATGATGAAAGTCGGATCAGATTCTTGTTACAAATTCGACTAACGCGAACATTCGGCAGATAAGGAAATTCGTTTTTGCAACTTTATCAAACCAAATGGGGCCACATTTTGCCCATATTGTTCAAAAGAAAAAATCTCTTCAAAAATAAATTTAAACTTAGTTACAAGCTGTCAAAAACAAAGTGACTGAATCTCCTCTAAACTAACGCCTCTCGAAAATTCAGCCTAAACGAATCCTAAAAAAAAATGGAAATTGTTAGAAATCAATATTGGATTTCCATGCTATCTTGCTTGGCGTAATCCTTAAGTCCCTTTTAGAAGTTTGCAAGGATCATTCGTACAAAAAAAAAGTCGACAAAATAGTAACAATTTGGCCTTAAGCACACCAAAAGAAATTTTTTTCTTCGGCACTATCAATCTTAAACACCATTTCCTCAACTCCTTGAACGATTGACGTTAACAAATCGTCAACTTTTATTAGACAATTGCACTCTCATTCTCATTCCAAAATCTTTAAAAAACAGAAAGTCAACTGACCTTAACGTAATAACTTATGTTTAAAGTAATTGCCCAGAAAAAAGGGGAGTCTACAGCGCATAATGCAGCTTTATCTCAAGTCATATTACTTTCCGCGAGTAAAGCAAATCTTCAAAAGAAACCTGGACACTACTTCTCTCTTCATATAAGCTGATAAGCCTGCTTTGCTTCAGTTGTTAGAACATTAACGAAAAGCATCAAAACACAGTTTATTTCCTTTATTGATGACAATAATATCCTTTGTTCGGAACTGTTTGGATTCAAAAAGGACCAAGACTTCATATAACCATTTGTCAACATTTTTATATTAAGTCCGGGAAATCCAATGTAATCCTTTTGCTGGCCACTAATTACTTCAGAACTAACTATATATTATTTGTGAGTAATGTACAAAATAACCAATTTTTATATATAAAATATTTTTAATTTTTACAAAAAGATAATATTGATAAGATTGCCTCCGATAATATACAAAGAATTCCCTTAGCGAAGACATCAACTTGTAATATATTACCATTTAAGTTCAGAGAGCGAGCGTATGTTGCTGTTAATTACATTTAGCAGTGAGACAGAGAACTAAATAATAAAAGTGTCTAAGATATTGTTGAAAATAAAATGTGCTTGAATTTCGATGATTTCCGCTGTTGCTGTTATCTTAAACAAAAACATTACATATTAAAAGATAAAGCATTTCACTGGTTTTTTCCTACTTTTCCGACTGTAACTTATTTTCACTTATTTGGTTTGTGTCTTGGCAGAGTAGAATGATGGAACGAAACAAAATCGAGAACTAAATCCAAAACAAAAGTTCTTGTATTTGGTAGATGCTATATGCAGTACAAATTGAAAAAAAATGAAACGAACTGGTTTTTTGTCTCTCTTAGTGTTGTTTCAAACCCAAAGAAAAGTTTTTGTATTTCCTATATGCTATATGCAGTACAAATTTAAGAAAAAATTAACATGAAAAGTAATGTTTTTATGTATGGCTTAAAATTGCTTCAATCAAGGAGAAGAAGAGTAAGTAAGATATTTTCTCCCAATAAGATAGCGTACAGCGTAATAGATATAAGTAGACGACGAGATGTCCCAATATTTCATACAAAATTAGAGTTAGTAAAATTTCAAGCATCTTTGACGTTTCTGTTATCAATATCAAACAGTAATAGCGCCATTAATTAACAGCCATGTTTTGTTATATTTATATGAACAAAAATTCTTTTAATACAAAAAGAAGAAAATTCTGTGAAATGTACGAAGAGAATGCTGCGAGTGAACGAAGGATCCACGAGTGGTTTGTTCTGGTCCGTTTCGAAAATTTCGCAGTGCAAGATTCACGCTTCGCTCTGGTCGGCCAGTCACTAAAAATTCGATGAAATATTGCAACTGATGGACCAAATTCGTCACCCAAGCTGTCAGGTAAATAGCGGAGGCACTAAACATCAACCACATGGCAGCTTGGAACCATTTGAAAAGAGCAGGCTACAAAATGAAGCTCCAAGAAACGGCGGAGATCTCTTATATCATGTATTATTCTATTATATAACACTAAAAAATAGTCAAACGCTTTCACAATTTTAGGATTTGCAAATCTATCCGTATATCCATCTTGTTTTCTTTTCTTCAACCTACAGATTACAATTGTTGAGATATTTCGATGAAAATTGATTTACTCAACCGATTTTGACCTTAGGGCGAACACTACTGAATATGGTTTAGATCGGATTATTTTGTTGTTCAGTTCCCATGTAACGCTCTATTGTGAATAACTCTATTAAGCGAAGTGATGTAGGGCATTTAATAGGAGGACGTAGCCCACAATAGTGATTTTATTTGTTTTTTTTTCTAATTTAAAAAGCAAAATACATTTTTTTTTCAAATACTTTCATCATATATGACGATATTGATTATGTATAATTGATTGCACTGTACTGTTACGTTATTATATGTCTATGAATGTTTTTATTGAATGAAGAAGACAACGCTTTGACACTCGTATTTATTGTGAAAAAGTAGATGAACATAAATTGCAGGCGATTAATTTATATAAAATCTAGCTTAAAATTATTAATATAAAATTTTGAAACATAAATAACAAAATAATAAGTGAAATATACTATTTAAACGCTTAATTGGAAAAGGAAACCTACAACTTTTACCCTAATTTTAACTAAAAAAAGGAAAAATTGTAAAATGGGCAGAGGGCTTCAATATACAATTGATTATTAAACAAATGCGGAAAATCTAAAAATAGATATAGCGAAACAATAGAATTTCCATAATTACATTAATCGTCATCAAATCAATAATCAAGTTGGCGCAATGACATCTTTGGGTGGTGCCAAAATACCCACAATATCAGCAACAATTTCAACGATTAGTTTGACTTCAATCATGGACGGTTTGGCAGTCGAAGAAAAACCGTTGAATACATTGCAAATGGTGCAGCAGAAGTTCAAGGATAACGAAAATGTCTTATCGGTATGAATGATGCGAACGAGAATGATATTGACAAGGAAAAGATTTAATCAATCCATTGCAGATTTTCGAGGCTTATCAAATTGCGGGACAAGAACACACCAGCCGTATATTGGCTTTAGTTGTATCAGTTGCGGGCGGTACTTATGCGGTGTTCTCATTGACGGCAGCACGTTTGCCACCGCGCAGCAATGCGGACTTAAGTATTGAGAAAGTATTTGCACTTAATGAAACATTTGAGATGGGAAATGGTAAGAAAAATTGACCATCAAACATACTTGACTAAAGCATATTTTATAGATAAAAAAGGTTCCATCTCCCAGTTGCAATTTACATTAAAGACTGCCGAGGAGCCTGTAGTCAAATATTACTATTACCCGGTAATATCGGCGGAAGGAGCTTCAGATTTTGATACGTTTCATGCTCAAGTTATTTCGGCAAAAATGTCAATGTTGCATACGCCGTCTTTGGGTCTAAACGATGTCACTGCTTTAAATTTCAGCTGGATAAATGACTATCGACAGATTGGCGAAGTCAAGCAAGAGTTAAAGAGGAGAGAAAATGAATACATTAAACTCAACGATTTTACGTAAAAACTCCACAATATTATTAAGTGAAATTCTTATATATATCTTTACATTTTAGCGTATATTGTGCCACTTGGAATGTTAATAATAAATCGTATTGCGATTCTCCTTTAAATCTTTGGTTAGCTGCTTGCGATGCTCCTCCTGATATATATGCTATAGCGTTACAAGAATTGGATACCTCAGCCAAGGCTATAACATTTAGCGAAAATCGGCCGGATGCTTTGTGGATGTAAGTTAAATTGTACGCCATTCTTTGATCATTCTTTGTGACAAAACCTATATATCTGATCTAGCAACAAAATGCTGGAAAGTGTTCATTGCAAAGCAGATTATGAAGAATTAGCTTCTGTACGTTTAGTGGGCATGATGTTGACCATTATTATCAAACGTGAATTGCGACGATATATAGCACGTTGTCGAGTTAAGAGTATCGCTCGTGGCGTCTTTAATGCATTGGGCAATAAGGGTGGTGTAGCGGTTAGCATACAAATTAACGAGGGTAACTTGTGTTTTGTGAATTCACATTTGGCAGCTCATTTGGCTTTTGTGGATGTTCGTAATGAAGATTATTGGGGCATAGTAAAGGGCTTGGTTTTCGATGACGACTTACGACGCACGATTAACGATCACGAGTAAGTAATTTCTCTGTGATTGTCGCCTCGATTTGATAATTACTTGCTCGAATTTTATAGTCATATTTTTTGGATTGGCGATTTGAATTATCGTATTGAAGAGCCATCGGGCTTTCAATTTCCTAGTGCACGCGGTGCCCATAATTACCACGATTTGTTACTGCAGTTCGATCAATTGGGTCAGGAAATGCGTAAAGGAAATTGCTTTGAGGGTTATACAGAAGGTCCTATTACTTTCCGTCCAACATATAAATACGATCCTGGCACTGATAATTATGACAGCAGTGAAAAGCAAAGAGCTCCGGCCTACTGCGATCGTATATTATGGAAAGGCTCCAACATTGAACAATTAACTTATAACAGTGTCATGGAAATACGACAGAGTGATCATAAACCCGTGTATGCATTATTTCGGGTAAAAGTCAAAACCAAAGATGAGAAACGGTTTAAAAAGATACACGAAGAAGTTCTAAAATTGGTAGATAAACGCGAAAACGAAAATCAACCGCAAATTAACGTAGAAAAGACAGTAATTGATTTCGGTTTAGTGCGTTTCAATGAACTGATTTGCAGAGATTTTACAGTATCGAACTCTTGCCCAATTCCTGTGGAATTTATGTTTAAAATCAAGGATGCTCCATTGAACGATATATGCGAAAAGTGGTTACAAATTGAGCCTAGAACTGAACGCTTAATGATTGGTAATAATTTAATAAATCATCGACAATAATTTTTTGCAAACTTTGTTTTATACCCACCGCCAAGCGATATTAATATTATTCCATATTCGATTCTGGGTCAGCGTATGATTTCAAGTTTATCGGACACACGTTTTTGAAACTGTTGATATTGCAAACTTTATGATTGGAAACTTAAAAATTATCATATATTAAATTTGAATGTGGATCTAATCCACGAATTATGCCTACATTCACTAAAAAAATAAAACAACAACACAAGTAGAAATAAACTATAGCCGGGCATTCATTTTCATTGCCAATCATTATTATACTTTGCTTCGATGTGACGGCAAAGTTTTCACGAAAACTCTTATACGCGATGCATTTCAAAAAATAGGCCTATGTTATAACTTTTTGGGTGAAAACACTACTCTCGAGAAATTTTTATTAGTGAATATTGAAAACTAACCCTTGATTTTTGTAAAAACAATTTTATGGTACGACGTTGAAAGAGTTTGTCAATTTGATCCAAATCCTTGACATCACATTTATTAGACGGAAAAACTACGACCCGGCCATTTTTGTCGAGAAACTTTAAAACTTGCAAATTTGTTTCATACGATGGCCCTATCAAAATAAATTTTTTTTATATTAGTAATGGCCGCAAAACTGATTCGATTTCAATAGAGTTCGTTCTTGAATCAAAATCGTGCACAGTTAATGTATCAAGTTTTGTGAGAAAACTTGAAAACTTTGTGACTTAAACCACGAGGACAAACATCAGACAGATGGGCAGAAATACTGATGAAGACTTAAAGTTTAAATCAATTCAGAGTATGATCCTGAATTGATCGATTGGATAAAACGTGAACTTATTTCCATTCTGGATGTATACATACATCCGCACAAACATCAAAATAATCTTAGCAGTAACTTTGCGTTGACAGCAACTGTCGATTTGAACTATGGGGCAAATGTTTATAGTTATTTGGTACCGAAACAGTTGTAATCCGCCGACTGCCATTGCCATAATTCCCAAATAAATTACTTCCTTTTTTGCATATCCTTGAGACGGTGGGTGTTCAAGGTTTACTAAATGTTATTTACTTAATTGCTTTTTTCCTTTTCGCAGATTCAAGTAAAGCTATACGTGTTAAACTCTTAATCGATTGCAATAGCGTAACCGGTCTGTTGCAGAAAATACGTGCCACAAATTGGAAATTTGATTTCGATATATTAATTTTACACGTAAAGAATGGTCCCGATATTTTTCTTACTGTAACTGGTGAATATAAACCTAGTTGTTTTGGTTTATCTATAGAAACGCTTTGCCGAACCGATCGTCCTTTATGCGAATACACTCAAGCGGAAATTAAGTGTTTGGTAAATAATTTTGTAAAATTGTGCGTAGAGTGAGATAATGAGATGAATGTATTTTTTATGTACATTTAGATGAATGACGAATCACCTGAATTTCGTGTTACAATGCCACGAGAATTCTTCTTGTTAATTGACTATCTGCATAAACAAGGCGCAAGTGTGGAGAGCGCTTTTACTTTAAGCTCATTGGAATTTAAACAGGCGAAAAGTGCGGAATTTAACGCTATACGGGATTGGCTCGATAGCTGGTCAAATGAAGAATTTCGTAAGTATTGCTCTCGCAGAAGCGATGATAAAAGAAAGTGATTTTAATATTTGAAAGAGTTCCAAGTGGCTGTGTCAATGAGTTTGCTAATGTAACCAGCCTGGGATAATAGAAATCGTATTCGATTCACATTTTGTACTTTTCTATGCGAAACTGAAAACACTCTACATAATGTTCTTCAAAGTTTGTTAAGCAGCGTTAAAAATCGGTAGATAAAATTGTTTTTACTGTTAAACGTATGTCATTTCGCTTACATAAGCAATATGAAATTGATGCAATAACAATTTTTTTTTTTTTTTTTTTTTTTTTTTTTCGTAGTGTCTTTGACTGTTTCGCAAACTAAGATATAATATCTAAACTTAATTACTTGATTTGCCGTTTTTACATAGTAACGATTAGTCATTTGCGAAAGTATCAAATTGTTTCTTTTACATTGATTGAAGGAGGGGTAGCAGCGAAGAGATAAAAATAAATTAGATTAAGTTACAAAGCTATAGCGATTTTTGCTTATTTCCTTCTCAGATTATTCGATAACGTTTGCTATTAATATAACCGACGAAGGGCATGCCTTGAAATTGATCTTTGAAAAATATTCAAACAACAACAACAACAACAACACCAACACACAACAAATTGTCTTTCGAGCATACTCAAACAACAAGGCTAAAGCGTGCATTAACAATGCAAGGAATTAGGGAATATTTTACGGTTGCCCAAGAGAGTGAGGGTGAGAGAAAGTAATGCGTACAAGTCAATGTGGATGACATTCTTTATTTGCATTGTGTAGTCATGTGCAGGCGCCATCTGGTTTCCCAACTATTCGAAAAAATAAAAGCAAGACATGTTAAGATATTCTCATTGTTAGTTAGTTAGTCAACGGTCTACTTTCCCTCTGAAACTGATAATGAAAGAACTCACCTCCAACTTGTTTGCGATGATTGTTGTATGTGTACTTTTTTTGTCTTATTTTTTATAATTGAAGTATATTTTTTGTTTAGAACTTGACAAAGCAAACAGTATGAGTTGCTATACCTAATCTATAAGTTTTTGTCTTCTTCAGAAATATATTTATGGGCATTTAATCCCCAAATGCAGTCTTTAATAAGAGAAACCTTAATTTTTCGTTTTCTATATAGACTTTATTCAGCCTCTATATACTATCGTACATAGTAAGATAGATATTATTACAACATAATAATAATTATTTATTATGTAAAAAAATTTTTATTTGTACTGATTTCAAAGATTTCACATATAACTTGACTGCGCTACATTTGGACCACTTTCATCTATTTTTTTTTTAGGGCAGCTTCAATAGAATTCAAAAGAATTCTCGCAAACAGTTACGAGTTTATGTGGCAAAGGTATCAAAATTTTTATTTATTTTATAATGAAACTCGGCCACAAGAAATTGCAATTAAAAATATATATTTCATGTATTTTTTTTTTGGATAAAACGAAAGAATCTGAGTGAATAGTAGGACGAATTCATTACACATATTGAAACTGTAATGTCGGTCAGGCCAGGAAAGATTTTCAAATTTATCGTAAAATATGAAATGAAAGATGACTTAATAAAAGTTAGGAAAACAACTGCAAAGGAAACAACAATCGCTATGAGATTTCTATAGAATGCAACAAACCAAGTCTATGAAAATGAAAAAAAAAAAAAAAAAAACTGGCCAGAGTATGGTTTAAAAATTCTTTAGCAAAATGACAAAAATTTTTGTTAGAACAAAAGTTTTCAAGATATCTTCTATTGTCGTTATTTTTTCAGCTGGTTCGCCGTCAGCTGCGGCAGAAGCATTGCTTATGCTGTTGCATTTATCGGAAACGCCTTTGCTGGACCCCTTAGTTGAAGATATTTTAAATACACAAACAACGGCAGAAGCAATGGAATTAATTTCATTGTTAAGTTCACCTAAACGTAATGTATTCGTACATTTGTGCATGTTCTTGCGTGAGGGTATCGAACGTAAATATTACAATTTAATGCATGTGGGTAAGTTGAAAGAATCAAGAAACGAATTGATACCGCAACAGACTGTATTGCATAAATTACACATTTGTGTATATTGCTTGTCTCTTTGCTTGCTTGTGTGCGCATATATATATATATATTTCAGCTACCATTTTCGGTCGTGTACTGTTGCGTTGCACCACCAAATCGAAAGACTATTATCGTGACACACGTACCAGAGAGTTTATGCAGCGTTTCATTAGTAGTGATGTGGGTACATTATCCAATGCTACGGCAGCACTGACAACCACAACGACGACAGCATCGTCTCGAACAACAGTAGCAACAGCAGCAGCAACTGGCGCAACAACATTAGAAGAAAGAACGAGATCGGGAACAGGAACGGCAGCGGGAACGGGAACGGGAACGGGTGCGAGTGCGGGTGCGGGTGCGGGTACGGGAGCGGGAGAAAACGGTCGAATAAATTCAATGGGTGGTAATCAGGCAAATTCTAATGCTGCAGCTTTAACTTGAAAGGCAATCGTATGGAAATTATTTATATTGTTTTGTTTATGGCAGGAAACTATTTTGCTCCTCTCTACGGAGCGAAAGCACTTTAAGTAATTTAGATAATTTTTATATATTTTATAATATTTTTCACGAGAGCAATATATTCACTTTTGAATAATTTTACTTTATTTTTTGCGGCAAATTTTAAGATCTTCGTTAAAAAAAAAAAAAAAGAAAAGAATTTTTCCAAAAAGATACAAAGGAAGTCATTTGACCGTAAACAACGATTTAAAATAAGTTAATAAGTTGTCAGCATTTTCCTTGCAGTGTTGAGGTACCAGATGCCATTGTTAAATATTTTACAAATATTTTAAGTTAAAGTGTCGAACTTTTCATGCGTTAACAAAAATGTATATATATATATATATATATGCATTTTATTATTTTTTTTTCCAAAATATTTCTAATTATTGTTAATTATGCTTAAAAGCATTTATTTAATGCTCAATTATTACATTGATACTGATATTGTTTAGATAATGTTGTATTTAATAGAAAAGAAATATTTATAAATAAATATAAAAATAAATTATTATTATAAGACATGCGTCTGTCTCTCTTCGCTATCCAAACTATTATTTTGTGTTAGTAAGTTTTTTGCAAAACCAAAAAAAAAATTTGTGTCAAAAAGTTCTTACACACATTTTACATTACATTCCTAACCATCGAAAAATTCATGTATATTCTATAGCTAGGTTTCACCTGAAGAAGAAGAAGAAGAAGACTGAAAACAATATATTTTCAAAATATCACAATCTAAAGTTTCATGTAAACAAGAGATTTTCCATATTTTTCATCCAAATTTGATGGTCGACGTTTGGCTCATGTCCATGCATTATTGCAAGTGTTTTGCCATGATTAAGTGGTTTCAGAGATCCAAAGCGATCAAGTATATGAAATCATTTTTGAATAGAAATGAGATGAATCAATATCGGAAACAAAAGAAGATTCATGTTGATATCCTCTACGCGATATTATTCCAAAGAGACGAGATTAGCATCAGCGTATAAATAAATATCAATTGTGTAAATACATCATGCTCTGGCCTTTTCAAAGCCTAGATATTTCTCTTTTTTTCACTCTATACTAACACTCATGGTGAGTGCATGTCGATTAAGTTCGTGAGGATGTTTATAATAACTTCAACAATGAGAAGTTGAGAAAGACTTTGTCTGTTTGCATGTTTATACATCTGTTTGTCCGATGTCGGTTTGTCTAAACTTTGCGCTGAAACCACATTCGAATCGTTTAATTATATCGCCTGTTATCGTTTTGGTGGTGATGCGATAATATTGGTGGATCGTTATAGCTTCTCTTGTACTAATATTAAAAACGTTGGTTGACTTTTATCAAGAGAAGGTGCGGGTGGATGATATCACGAGTATAGAGTGTGGTTATCGCTTCATAAAAGCTAACTTTTATCATTAAGCCTAAAGCAATTAACTTAGCTTTAGTTCCCATTGTTAGATTCCATTCTAAACTACGAATCGATTTCTTGAGAATTTTTCAAAATTCCTCTACATACATATTCATTTTTTTTGACATGTAGTTGTTTTTTTTTTTTTTTTTTTTTAAATAAATTTTTTTGAACGCTTATGAACGCTGGAGTTGAAAATCAAAATCTCCCCGAACCTCTTCATAGTACCGATATTTGCTATCAATTTTCGAACAATTAAAAAAAATTTTTTTTTTTTTTTTCATATATTTTACCACTGTTCGCGTAGTTTTAAAGTTCATGTCATGTTCGTTTTTGGACGTAGTGACGTAGTGATTACTCTAAATGTTAGATTTTCTTGGAGGATGTAGATTTTTGGTGAGTTCTGTGAGTTACTGTTTGCTGATTTACAATTTTAAAGCATAAGATAGACAGACAGACAAACAAACTCATATATATATATATATATATTAATATTATGTAATAGCTACACTTTTACATACTAAGTGGTTTGCGTTGTCTTTGGATGTTGTTCTGTTATGGCACAATTAACACCTACTTATGAGACATAATTCAAGCTACACAAGCATGACACACATAATCACGCAGCGATGTCATATAAAAATTATAATTTACGTTTGAGTGACATTGCTGTCCAACTTTTCGGTCTCACTAGGCCACCTTTTATATAAAAGTGAACTTTGCGTGTCGCGTAAAATTTTCTTAATACTGACGTTTGTTGACAAGCTAAAGCAATAAAATGATATATATATATACATGTATATACATATATATAATAGGTGTGTAAATGAATTCTTCCCATGTTTTAAGAAAATACAACTTTATTTAACTTTAATAATGTTGTCTATGTTCTTTCGCCTTCTATCGATTGCATCGATCTGCAGCAGTGCTAATCAAGAAGAGACAGTCCAGGAGAATATACCGTAATCGGGAGACGTTCTTAAGATCGCTTTCTGAGCTGTTTTTCCTGCTGACGGATGGAACCATTTCATGAACCACAATCACAACGGTCTTCTTTCCCCAAGCACGCCATTTAGTTTGACTAGTTTACCTTGATATCGTTCAGACGTCAACATTTCTCCAAGCTTCCGAGATTTGTAGTGAATGATTTATTTCCAATTCTATTGAACGGAGCTCCAGAGTGTTCACTACCGATAGCATTAACATTTTTTGCCCGAATTCCTGCAAACCATTTTCTAACTGTTTTATAATATACTGTATATTCATCCTAACCTAAGGTAACCTAATCATTTGTGGAGCTTCAGTTGCATTTCATTTTTTTTTTTTTTTTCTGCTTAATCCAGTTGAAAATAGAAAGAAACGCCTTGCCGTAAATAAGATACCATCTCTTTGCACTTTGATATATATTGAACGCTAGCTTGTAAACAATTGAAACTTATTTCATATACACACATATATATATATATATATAAGGTATCGTCAGAATTCATTTACGCACCTAATTTATATACATACACATTAATGCATTAATATGTGTCAATTGAAAGCATTACGGTGTCGCGTTAGTGATGTTTTAGAAATAGCATGTCGACTGCCTAAAGGAGGGTGTTCAAATAATTCGGGGAATTTTTAAATTTCACATTTTTTTCCTTCTCCTCATCACAAATCTACCGCTAACGGAGGTATACATTGCCTGATATAACCTGAACGCTTACGAAACGTTTCTATTTGCTTCCGTGTCCCCAGATTCACTCAGTCACTGAGTCTCTATCGAAACACATGTAACTTTTCCTATAGTTAAAAAACAAGAGCCTGCGATAATTGCGTCCACAAAGCTTCAAGAATTTAAAAAATTATCCATCAAATATTTGTTAAAAACCTCTCCTAAAAGGTCACTTGGGCAATTACGATTTTTATATTTAGGCAGCGTCTCTTCATAAAGCGCCAGCATTTGCATGAGAAAAAAATTCCCACAAAATCTAGATTAACGAAACGTTAACATTCTTGACATGTTAGTGTAAGAAACGTTATTTAGCTTATTAATCGTAGAGGCTGATTACGAGAATGAGATAAATAAAAAACTTATGTTTGCTTTAGGCGTAAATCTCTACAAAGCACTCAACATCTCCTTAATCGTTCTAAACTTTTCTTACATTGACCTTTTGAATAATCTTAGAAACTAAGTATGTCAAGTTTTTTTATTTTTTTTTTCATGGTCTTATATAAGAAACGTCTTAATTACATAGCTAATACAAGTGATATACGTATATGAGTGCGTCATAGTATACAGAAATGAAAAAAAGTGACAATTAATTTAACAATATCCTGACATATACTTATTCTATTAACTGAATTGCTGGAACTAATATTAAGAACTCCATTTCAAATCAGGGGGGGAGAGGGAGTAGTTTAAAAAGGGTTAAAATTAAACTAAGTAAAACACTCAGCTGCACCTGATATATATATTCAACTTACAAGGTTTCCTTTTTCCTTGTTAATAGCCTAGTAGGTAGGAATCGGCCAGAGTTTACTTTAATATTGCAGTTATAAGAGTGAGAGAGAGAGAGAGAGAGAGAGAGAGAGAGAGAGAGAGCACAGTCGGTAAAAGAGTAACACTTGCCAATTAGGCAGGTGTTCACTGTGCTACGGCCTATCTATTTCTCTTTCCCTCATTTCGTTCTAACCGTTACTGCCTACCACGGATAGAGAAGATCCAATCAGTGATTGGTTCATATTAAAAAAAAAAAAGAAGGAAAAAAAACTATAAGTTTAAGTTATGTATAGGTTCCATCGGGTCCCGTTGTTTGCTACCACTTTATCCGCCTTAGAAAATGTGATACCGCGGGTAAGCATATTGCATAGATTATGACTACTGTATAAATATAGTTCATAGGCAGGCATAGAGCACAGCTAATCTATTCCAAAACAGACGCCAGTTAACATTAGAGTTAAATGTTAATTGTCGTTAAAAGTCATCACATCCAATGCCGAGGGGTAAAGAAACTCAATAACTAAATTGTTAAGACGGAACACTATTGCAATTTATTCAGCTATCAGTTGTTTCTGTTGCTTTAATAGGTGCTTTCTGCGAGTTATAGGGAAAAGAATTTGTCATCCGAAAAAAAGAGTTTTTCCTGGAAAGTTCGTAGGTCAGTCAGACGTACCTCATCCAGACGACCGTCTGTACTACGAGCGATTCTACAGTTTTCAATGCCTTTGTGAAAAAATTGAAAAAGTTTGGGATGAAGTTTTTAGTGGTTGTTTATGAATTCATTTATAGATTTATAGAAATTCCTGCCGTGTGTGCGATTCTGTCTTCGATAATTGCAGAAAAAGGTATTCTCTCTCGCGCTCTCTACTCTTCAAAGAAAGAGTATGAAGAATAATATTTAAACGTACAAGGATCTTTTAAGGGGTCCACGAATTTCAAAATTGAAAAATCATGTCTACAACGCATATTAAAATTTCAAACACTTTTTTTTCTCGCAACATCAAAAAGGTGTAGCTTCGAATAGCTGCAAGTAGGTTTAAATTGATCTTTATTGAGTGAAAGTGAGACGCAGTCGTACTAAGATACTTGGGATAAATGAAACAAATCACTCCATGGCTTATGATTATTTAATCATTGGATTGCAATCTGATGTAAGAAATATGAGATCAAATTTTCTTAAATGTGTTTTTTTTTTTTGAAAACATCAATTAACAGATTT